GCCCTGAAAAAAGTGACTGAGGACCATTTTTCACACTTATGACCATTGCAGCATCCCCATGGTCACTTGATTTACAGTACATTCGGATGCTTGACAACTGATTCAATTTATGACGTTTGAAGTGTCCCGGAGTCATGTGATCCTGTTTTGGGACCTTTTGATGATTCACTTAACAACCCTGTTGCCAGTTTAACAACTGCAGAGATTCACTTAACAAACGTGGCAAGAAAAATATTAAAATGGGGGGAAACTCACTTAACTAATTTTTCAGTTAGTGACAGAAATTTTGGGTTCAAGGGTGGCCGTAAGTTGAAGACTACCTGTACAGTATTTTGAAATACAGGTAGACCTCAACTTATGACCACAATTTATGTTGCTAAGTGAGACAATTAACTGAATTTTGACCCATTTTACGATCTTTCTTGCCATAATATGTGAATCACTGAAGTTAAGTTAGTGACACAGTTCTTAAGAGAACCTGGCTTGCCCATTGACTTTGCTTGTCAGAAGGTGATTACATGACCCTGGGACACTGCAACCGTCATAACTATAGTCAATTGCCAAGTATCTGGATTTTGATCATGTGTCTGTGAGGATGCAGCAATGGTCATAAATGTGAAAAACTGTCAAAATCCACTTTTTTCAGTGCTGTTGTAACTTCAAACAGTCACAGAATGAACTGTTGTAAGTTGAGAACTATCTGTGGTAGAATTTTTGAAAAAAATCAGGAATTTGTTTTGCAAACTCATCTCAAGTTCTGCAAAACTACAGAAAAGTCATATAAAGGAGGATGAGAGAGGTATTGATATCGGCTTTCTATATTATAACATGATTTACTCATTTTTAAAAAACACATTTCTTCATTTTTCAGCAAAAGAAATGCATCTGGGGCTTTGGGCACTCTTATATCTCTGAAGAAGTCCTTCTTCACCAATTTCCTCCTGTTGTGGATCGATCCAGCGCTGAAACTCCGCAGGCTTCTTCGGCTCCATCTTGTTTCGCCATCTCCAATGTGCCGCCATTTTGTGGTGGATTATCGGCCAGTCGTTCTGCGAGATCCTTGCGTTGCTTCTTCTTGACCAGAAAACTGGAAGGCAGATTGTGCCTCATCCTCCCTTCTCCTTGGATTTATACGTTTCTTCTCTTGGCTCTTCCTTTTCCTACCTCAAAAGCCGATTTGACAAAGTTTAAACATTTTCCAAAAACGGTTATCCAAAATGACAAGTCTGTTCCGACGGAGCAGCAGCAATGGTGGCTCGAGGAACAGTTCTTCCGCTCAAGAACTTAACAATAGCCGCCCCGCAAGGCAAGTACGGAGGCTGGAGTTTAACCAGGCGATGGAGGATTTCAAGACCATGTTCCCCAACATGGATTATGACATCATTGAATGTGTCTTGAGGGCCAACAATGGTGCAGTAGATGCCACCATTGATCAACTACTACAGATGAATTTGGACTGCAGCGAATGTGACGAGAGTTCGGATTCAGACGACAGCATTCCTCCGGAGGTAAACTCTGCCATGTTTTGGAATACAGGTAGTCCTTGACTTACAACCATTCGTATAATGACCATTCAAAGTTACAATGGCATTGAATTTGAATTTTGAATTTGAATTCTTTATTGTTGTTGTACGTATATACACAGTATACATACAACAAAATTCACACAACACCCAGAGACCAGACCCAACACACACACACACACACACACACACACACACACACACATGACAATCCCCAAACACACACACACACCTGCCAAAATTCCCCGCCCTCTAAAAACACACAAGCATTCACACAACAGACCAAGTAATACTGTCCAACAAGTTCATTGTTAAGTGCAATTATAGCTCTGGGATAAAAACTGTTCAGAAAACGTGTGGTCCAAGTTTTAATTGTTCTGTATCTTCTGCCAGAAGGCAACAGTTCACAAAGATTGTAAGCAGGATGGGAAGAGTCTCTGAAAATGTTGTGCAACTTCCTCAAACAGCGAGATATCCTTCAACTCCAGGGCTGATAGCTGGAGCCAGATGATATTCTGGGCGGTTTTAATGATTCTCTGTAGAGCATTTTTGTCCACTACCGAGCTGCTCTCATACCATGCAAGAATGTCGTATGTCAGGACACTCTCAATGGTGCTGCGGTAGTAGGACAGAAGTAGATGCTGAGATAGATTTATCTTCCTGAGCATTCTCAGGAAGTACAGCCTCTTCTGTGCCTTCTTCACAAGCATGTTAGCGTTGTTAGTTATTGTTAAAAGTGAATCATTTTTCATACTGCCTCGGAGCTTTTGCTTGCAATGGATCTGTTGCTTGGAACCATGACATACAACTGTCACAGCATCTCTATGGTCATGTGATCCAAATTTGGACAGTTGGCAACTGGCTCATATTTATGACATTTGCCGTGTCCCAGGGGGGCACATGTGATCCCCTTTTGTGACCTTCTCACAAAGTCAATAGGGAAGCCAGATTCGCTTAACAACCACGTTACTAACTTAACAATTGCAGTGAATCCCTTAACAACTGGGGCAAGAAAGTTTTTTTAAAGGGGCAAAACTCACTTAACTGTCCTGCTTAGCAATGGAAATTTGGAGCTCAATTATTATGATTGTAAGTTGAGGACTTACCTGTAGTTGCAAGTTTGGCTGAACGTTTGAGGAAAGATTTTCGGAGAGATTTTCTTTTGTGCTAATTGTATGGGGTAGTGTTTCTCCAACCAGACCCAACTTCCATTTTAAGTGCCTCGGATGCCCAACATAACATTGTGAGAAATTAAAATGGCGGTCAGGATAGTCAGTCCCTACTTCTCCTCCCCAAAACTATTTTACCATCCAAATCCCAAGAATGTCCTCCAGTCACCCTCTGGTAATGATGGATCCCACCTTTATAGCATGTGTGAGGTCACCACAATGTGAGGAAGTGATTAAATTGTCCTTGGGTTAAACTTGATTAAATTGTTTCATTATGCTGCCATTAAGTTATTACACTACTGTCTATTATTCTTTATAATCTTTCTTCTCTTTTGATTTAATTTTTATGTTCACTGCTAGAGCCACAATTATTGTTGGTCTAGTGACTAAGACACCAGGCTTTGTTCCAGACAATAACTGTTTTAGTAACTCATTTACCTTTTAAACAACAGCAAAAGGAAATATCTGAACTTGTGTGGCAGGGAAAAAAAAACACCACGAGTTAAATGTCAGGAAAGACGAGGGTTGGGTTTACCTGATTTACACCTATATTTTGCAGCTTACTGTTTGTTTATGATGGAAGAAGTTTGCTGCTGAGAAAGAGAAGCCTTTTGGAGTTAAAGGACATGACCTGAGATTTGAGTGGCACTGCAGGTGTTTTTGTGGATGGAATATGGGCTTTGGCACTCTCTGAGCTTGGTTGTTTTCCTGCAGACATTTCATTACTAAACCAGGTAACGCCGTCAGTCCTCAGAGGGCACCAAGGACCCCACAGTTCCACTCTTAGCTTACAAATATGATCTTCTATATAATATGGAATAGATACAAATCCAGGTTGTGCCCAAAAACATCTTTGGGGCTCTTAAGCACGCAAACAGGTGCAGTCCACCTTGCACTGCATTTCATTTCTCTGTTCTAGTTCGCTACTACGGTGTGCATTGTGGCAGGAATGCCTGCTAGCCTCTTGTCACTGCGCATTCATTTTACACGTGAAACAGTGAAATACTGGGTTTTTCCCCCTTTTAAAACAAAATCCAAAAATTGATGGAACAGTGAAATCTGTCTCTTTTTCTGTTTCATTTTCAAAAGTTGAAGGCACAGGGGAAAGGTTAAAGGATGGACTTTGCTTTTCTTTAAACCACTGAAATTGACAAAAGTGAAATTGATGGAAATCTTGCCACTTTGTCCTTCTAGTTCAAATGACAGGAAAAATTGAAAAAAATTTCCTCCCTCCCTCCCTTCCTTCCTAGAAGAATTTTGTCAGAGTATATTCATGAACTGGAATAGAACTTGGTAACAAGGTCAGCCAATGAATAGGCATAGCAACTAAGTCAGTCAATGAGGACTGTTTTGGAAACTGAAACTAGAAGTAGCCTAGGCTGGAAACTGAAACTAAAAGTAGCCTAGGAGTTGTTATATATTGAGCTCTGCAACTCTGCAGAGCTCTGAGTCTGTTTACTGAAGATGAAACTAGCTTGCTTGCTTGCTTGCTGAAGACTGGAGCTCTGCTCTGAACTTAGAACATGTTTCTGTTTGAGGTTGCTCCATGTTGGAGAAATCTACAACTGGTTTGTAAAATCTACTTATGTTTATAAAGATGTTAAATGAAGCATCAGCCATCTGTGTTTTTTTTCTGGTGCTGAATTATCGCTGCAAAACTCTCAATAAATTTGCTGATCTGAGCTGTGGTCAGTGAAGTCTAGACAGAACCTCAAAATGGCCAAAATGGAGGAGGAACCAAATTTCTTAAGCCAGCTTCATTTCCAGACAATTTATGCCGAGGAATGCCAAAGCTTAAAACTGCAGAATTTGAAAAGGCCCTACTTAACTCAATAGACATCTGGTAGAAGTCACAACGACATGATGATATTGTCAGTTCATCAACTTCTTCCCTTTGTGGATAGCCTGTATATCGTAGGGTTTTTAAGAGTGCTTGCTTGCTTAAGGAACTTGGTTTTTAGGCATTCCTGGATCATGAACAAGGAGAATTCCCCCACCTCTGCGAGATGACAAAGGCAAGCCAAAAAAGAAAAGGCAGAGAAAAGGGGTGAATGGGTGGGACACTGAAGCAACTGTGGCAAGATGGAAGGCATTTGCACACGCAGCTTGGCGTCACTTCTGGGTTGGCACTGCCCTCATATTCTCACAGTGCCATCTTCTTTGGACAGCTGAACCAAGTTACTTTTGGCTCAAGCAAAGCTTGCAAGTGCAAGAGGAAGAAAAAAAAACCCACTATGTTTTTTCCACTGGCAGGATTTCTTCCCTAATCCCACCACCTTGGCTGTCTTTCTTCCTTAATGAGGCTAAGGCAGCCTGGGGCCGGGCTGGGGAACAGAAAAATGGTGTGGCTTATTTTCCTTGGGAGCATTTATTTTAATCTGCAGCTAAATCCCTTGCAACCCCAGTTGAAAACAATGAGATGAGACGTTCTGATCACTACTACAGTACTACTACATTTGTGTCAGGAGCACCGAAGTGCTTCCAGGTTGAAAGGGATTGAACAGTGACATCATGGATGCCTGGCGGATGCCCAGGTGGGGCTCCTTTCATGTCCTCATTAAGTTGCCCACCAAAGTGGTACCCATCTATCTACTTGCGTTCACCCACTTTCGAACTGCTGGGTTGGCAGGAGCTAGAGTATGGGATGGGAGCTCACCCCTGTAGCAGCAATCAGGACTCAAATGCGAAGCTGCTGATCATCAACCCAGTGTCCTAACCATGTGAGCTACCCACACTCCATTAGTGACTTTTGCATTTATCAATCCTCCTGGAAAACCAGGTATAAAGTACAACCAGATGAGCTAAATCTACTGTGTTGTAAGAATACATTAATGGAATCTTGCAGGTCCGATGGTACACATTTCCTGCCACCAGTTTTATTGGTCTGATCAATTAAGGAAAGTCCTTCTAGGTTTCTTTCTCTGACCGTTAAGCAACTGAGGGCTCCTCCTTCTCTTTTCTGATTGTCCCCCAAGGTTATCTGTACGTTCTTCTACAGCATCCCCCCATTAGCCATCTGAAGGAAGGGGGATTAGGATGAGAATGGAAACAGGAAGAAGTTCCAGGTAGCTTGGGAAGGATGGCTGTGCAGAAGTCCAATAATCTAATGCAATGTTTTTCAGCCTTGGCAACTTTAAGATATGTGGACTACAATTCCCAGAATTCCCCAGCCAGCATGGCTGGCTGGGGAATTCTGGGAGTTGTAGTCCACACATCTTAAAGTCACCGAGGCTGAGAAAACACTACTCTAGAAGAAAATAGCTCTGTCTAAAGCTCTGTCTGTGCCCAATGCTTGGGAAAAGAGACAGCTGCAAGCAAGTTTGGGGTTGTGCAGCACACTGTCAACTATTTACGGGTGTGAAAATCTCCCAGCAAGTTGATAGCAGATGTCCTGCCTGCCAAAACACAGGCTGGATCCCAGCATTCCCTAATAGCTCCTGGCTGTGGGGTGTGGGTGTGTAGGTGTGATTGGGAGTTAGCAGGGTAGTTTAAGGACAAACTGTTGGCCCTTAGCCTAATTTTTTCAGGCCTCTGTGTGTCGTGACCCTCAGGTGAACAGCACTTTCCTTGTCAAATGTTAGGAGTTCATCATGTTGGTATTTTCAGTAAAAGCAGGCATAAGAAGGAGATTTGAATGCCTGTCAGAACCGGATATAGGTTGTCTTCAGTTTAGCATTACTGTAATCTGTTTAGATTTTGCTTTGCAAGAATTAAATGCCTTTGCAGAAGTTCTTTGTAGGAAAAGTTAACAAATTAGGGTTTTTTTGTGTGTGGGGGAGAAAAGGAGAACAATTGTTTCATGCAGAATCATCCAATGAACAATAAATATTTAATGTACATAGTATTGAAATGTCAGTGAAATCATATCAAATGTAATTTTCACGCTAGCTTGTTTTGGATTGTGGCCCCAGCATTCCAAAAGTCAAGTGTGACCCACAATTTACACACTGTTATTGTACAGGCTTGCTAGCTTTAGAAGGAAGACCAGCATTCTCTCATGGAATTATGGATTGCAAGGGCATAATTTGAGAGTTTATAGCTCCAATGTCTGTTTTTCCAAAATCCCAATCTCACTGGAATTTCTTAATCTTTCTCAGAGCTGATACAGGTAGTCTTTGACTTACAGCTATTTGTTTAGTGACCGTTTGAAGTTACAACAGCACTGAAAAAAGTGACTTATGACCGTTTTTCATACTTACGACCATTTGCAGCATCCCCATGGTCACATCATTAAAATTCAGAATGCTTGGCAATTGACTCATATTTATGATGGTTGAAGTGTCCTGGGGTCATGTGTCACCTTTTGCGACCTTCTGACAAGCGAAGTCAATTGGAAAGCCAGATTCACTTAACAACCATGATACTAACTTAACAGCTGCAGCGATTCACTTAGCAACTGTTGCAAGGAAGGATGTAAGATGAGTAAAGCTCACTTAACAACTGTTCACTTAACAACATAAATTTGGGATTCAGTTGTGGTCATAAGTTGAGGACTACTTATAGTTCCCTTTTGCAACACTCATCCTCCTAATTCTCTAATTCAGTGGCCCCCAACCTTTTTTGTACCACGGCCCAGTACAAAATGATCCACGGACCAGTACCGGCATCAGCACGCACGACCAAGGCAAGGCGAGCCGAGTGACTGGCCAGCCAGCTGTCCCCCGCTTCTCCCCGCCACCTTCAACTCCTCCTTTGTACCTTCTCGCGGTCGATGGGCTTTTCGGGCTCTTTCTTAATCTCCTTCTGAGTAACGCGAGACTCCACCACCATCGGGACGGCTCTTCGTTCGAAGCTGCCCCCACCCTCTTCGACGAAACTAAGCACCCAAACGCCGCTTTCCAACTGACGACCGACAAGCTCACCCGGAAGCACTTTCTCAAGCGCCGTCGAAACAAGATGGCGGCGCCCAAGCAAAATAGGCGGCCCGGTACAAATTGATCCATGGACTGGTACCGGTCCGGGGCCCGGTGGTTGGGGACCCCTGCTCTAATTCAGTGTTTCTCAATCTTGGCAACATGGAAGGTGTGTAGACTTCAGTACCCAGAATTCCACAGCCTTGCTCTTCAAGATGCCAAGTGATTGAGAATCGCTGCTCTACCTCTATGTCTCTCATATACTTCTCCCTCTATGCTAATTGTCCCCAGTGGACATCCCAATCAATTGCAGATACAGGTACCATGTTTCCCCCAAAATAAGACCCAACCGGACAATAAGCCCTAGCATGATTTTTCAGGATGCTCGTAATATAAGCCCTTCTCCAAAAATAAGTCCCAGTTAAGATTGTCGGCCAGAAGGATGCATTTAGTACTGTATTTCCCTGAAAATAAGGCCTAATGCGTCTTTTGGAGCAAAAATTAAGACCCGGTCTTATTTTTGAAGAAATACAGGTAGTTCTCAGCTTACAACCGTTAAATGAGCCCACAGTTTTGGTCATGAATCGTGCCAGTTGTAACATGAATCACCATGTGACTGCACCCAATTTTATTATCTTTTATGCTGCAGTTGTTCAGCAAACCTATTTTCACTACTGGGCAGATTTTGCCAGAAATCAGGAGTAAATGCCAGTACGGGGCAAAAATATTGTAAATCACAATTGCGTGAGTACAGGATGCTGCAAACCACCCTAAATGCAAGCTGGTTGCCAAGCAGGCAAAATGCAATCCTGTGACTGGGCACGAGGGAGGTTTGGCGCTTCGAAACTGGGTCACAAAGTAGCTTTGGGAAGGTCTGATAATAAATTCAAATGGTAAGCGATGGTGGTAAGTCGAGGACTACCTGTGTTGGTAGCAAGCAAAGGGTCTCTAATGCAGCAGCCTTTTAGGCACCAGTTCTTTAGAGTTTTCCCCCTGGACCGGAGGGTGCATGATTTCGTGTGCTGCCTGCATCCTGGTGATGGGGCTTTGCTTATTTCCATGGCTTGGTTTCTGGCGTGCCTCAGCCTGGTGTCGGTCCATGGACCAGGAGTTGGGGATCCCTGCTCTAATGAATACATGTTATGGCCTGCCAGCTGCCAGCAGAGCTGGTGGCAGACTCGGACAATAAGGAGGTTGGGGAAGAACTTGGGTCAGTTCTGGAGCCTGGGGAAGGCTCTGATGGATGCTCAGCGTCAGACACAGAGATAGAGTCAGGTCCATCCGGCATTTCCCAGTCTGAGAGGCAGCTGCCTGTGGAGTCAGAGATGAGTGAGGAGGAGGAAAAGCTGGGGCCTGTTCCAGATGTACGTATGTGCAGAGCAGATAGGAGAGGTGAACAACTGAGGACAATGAGTCGGCTCAGGAAGCAAAACAAACGTGGACACTGAATGGCTCCTCCCTGGTTGGGGAATAAATAGGAGGAAAGGGGAGTGGTTTGGTTGTCGCAGACAATGGTTCGCATTTCTAGAAAGTTTACTCCTTGTGTGTTTTGTGCGACAAAGACTGCCTTGCCAGAACTGAAGTTTGTCTATTTCTCTAAGTTCATTTGCAGCCTTACGGCTGGGAGTTTACAGCCTTGCATTTATCATAATGAGCTATTTCTTCAGTTAACTCCTTGCAGGATTCTTGCCTGGACTTTCTCTTGGTAAATGCGCTTAACTCCCAATGTGTAAATAAAGAGGGTTTTTTCTTTGCAGGGAGCCCGTTTCTTGCTTCTGCGAAAGCCGGGTCAGAACAATATGTATATTTTTCTCATTTGGTTTAGATTCTGGAACGAACTTTGGAACCAGACAGTTCAGACGAGGAGCCCCCTCCAGTGTATTCACCTCCTTCCTACGATATGCATATATATGACCGAAAGTACATGGAGACTCCTCCAGTACCACCACCCAGGTATGTAGCCATTAAGATCCAGAATCACAGAGCTGATGGTCCAGCAACTTCAAGATAAGAAACCCAGCGGTAAAAACTTTGCCAGCAGATGTTTTCCCAGCCACTGTGGATAGGACTTTAATGAGGGAGAGATACCACAACTGCTTGAATCAGGAGTGTGTGGTTCTCCAGATGTTGATGAACAATAACTTCGGCCAGCATGGACGAAGCAGAGGAAAGATGGGAATTGTAGTTCTGTTTCATGTGGTAGACCAGAGATTCTCCTGCTTGTCTCAGATCAGGGGTGGGACGCAGATATTTTTACTACTGGTTCTGTGCGCATGGCCATGTGACTGGGAGGGTGTGGCTCTACGTCCCCCCCACCCCACACTCCATGTTTTTGCTTCCTGGGCCTCTTGGGAATCTGTTTTTGCTCCTAGGAGGCTTCTCTGAGGCCTAGGAGGCAAAAATATACAGAGTGTGGGAGGGCCGCGCAGCACACACCCTGCACGCCCCCTTTTGCCTCCTGGGCCTCAGGGAAGCCTCCTGGGTGAAGCAATAAGACAGCGAGAGGGATCCCGGCACAGCTGATCATTGGAACAGCTGATTGTTGGGAAGAAAAAAAAAAGAAATACCAGTTCAACTGAACTGGTAGCTGTTTTTTTTATTACCGGTTTGGCCGAACGGTAGCATTTTCACCCAAACTGGGCTGAACCAGTATAATACCATCGCTGTCTCAGATCGGTATTTAATACGGTTGGAATTTGATGTATGTGGACTTCAGATCCCATAATTCCACAGCTTGCCTTCAGAAATTGTGGGCGCTCCATCGCTTGGAGTTTTTTAAGAAGAGTCTAGACAGCCACTTATCTGAAATAGTATAGGTTTTCCTGCTTGAGCAGGGGGCTGGACTAGAAGACCTCCAAGGTCCCTGGAAGCCATTCCATTCCATTCGCCGTTGATGAGAATTTTGGGAATTGAAGCCTACACACCTGGAAGTTGCCAAGGGAAGTGGAATTATATTATTGTAATTTGGTTTTTTTTCCCCAAGCAGAACTGATATCCAAAATTCCAGCGGTTCACAAGCACAAAGGCGATACAGGGACTGGAATCCACCATTATTAGGGAATCTTCCGGATGACTTTCTCCGCATCTTACCACAGCAAATGGATATGGTGCAGGTGGGAAGTAGAAAACTTTTGTATTTAGAGTGGGTAGCGTATTGCCCAATGCATAACACGTTGGACTGTAACATCCAATTGTAATCTGCTACAGGTCCGCTGCAGGTGTGATAGTTTTTTTTTTTTTTTACACACAATCTCTTTCTAGAGCACCCAAAACTGTCATCAAAGCACACAGAGTCCTGGGAACCAGAGCGCTCAGGGGTCATTGGATCAGGAGAAGAAATGGAAGCAGTATTTGGAAGATGAACGGATTGCTCTGTTCCTCCAGAATGAAGAATTCATGAAGGAACTTCAGAGAAATCGCGATTTCCTCCTGGCCCTTGAAAAAGGTAATTTCAGGAATCCAAATATTAAAAATAGTCACCTTCTCCTCTCCAACCAATGTGTGACAATCTTGATTTTGCCAGTATGACCCTGTCAAAGATATCAGGGCATGTTGATAGTCCTTGAGTTATGACCGTAATGGAACTTGCCCAACTTGCCATTATGGTCATAAGCTGTGATGCTTGTAAAGTGTCACACAACCAAGCCAATTGTAGAAGCTTTTTTTGTGATCATTAAGTGAACACTGCAGTTATTTCAATTTCATTGTACTCATGTTGTACATTGACAATAAACTTTTGATTTGATTTGGTTAAGTGAACCAATGGCTTGTTATGGGGCTGGTTTTGCCAAACCCGGGAAGTAAGTTTTCAACAAAACCATCGTAAAACGCTGTCACATGGATGTGGGGTGTTACAAACGGCTGTAAATGCGGCCTGGTTGCTGAGCACCCAAAATGCAGTCACATGACTGGGAGGGGGCTGACCATTGCAACTTGAAATCTACGTCATAAGTAGCCCCCAGGTGGGTCCCTTTGAATGATCACTAAGTCATAAGTCAAAGAGTAACTGTGTTTTATGAATATTGTAGTTCTGGCGTTTTTCTACTGCAGTGGTGGAGGTTCATCCTCCAAGCTTGTGTGTTTGGTTTCCAAACATTTCATTACCAGCCTAGGTAGCATCTTCAGCAGGGTTTAGGGAATGTCTTGTGTTCTTCTGCTGATCAAGGCTTTGTGTGGGCCATAGGTCTTCTGATGGGTCAGGAGTGGGTGTGTCAAGTGAGCATTTTCTAATGGGTCTTGTAATGGAGAGGTCATGTCAAGTGAGAGTCACTGGGAGGTGAAGTGGTGGTTGAGGGGGGGTTGTGTCAGTGGAGGGATTCAATTTTTTTTACTACCGGTTCTGTGGGCGTGGCTTGGTGGGCGTGGCAGAAGGAGGATACTGCAAAATCCCCATTCCCTCCCCAGCCCACTAACCTGCTTTCCAGCTCTGTTCTCCTGTGGAGGGCAACAAAAGAAGACCCAGCCGATCAGTTGGGACTCAGGAGGCAGAGAAGAGATGAGAGAGGGGCCAGTCAGAGGTGGTATTCGCTGGTTCTCCAAACTACTCAAAATTTCTGTTACTGGTTCTCCAGAACTGGTCAGAACCTGCTGAATACCACCTCTGGTTGTGTGGATTGGTTGTGGGTCAGTGCCGTTGTGTGGTTGATTTGAATTCTGAAGGGGTTCATAGGCTGGTTGTGTTTTACTTTTTTCTACTGTGTTGTAGTTAAATTCTTGATCACGTTGCTTTACTGTTAACCGCACGGTGTCCTTTATCTAGAAAGTTAGCTGGGCAATATCCTTTCAAACGTTTGTTTTTCCTGTGCTGTCCTCTAGATCGGTTAAAATATGAATCAAAGAAATCCAGAATGAACAACGCTGCCCTCAGTTCAGATCCCGCTTTGTCCTCAATATTATCAGGTAAGCATGTAAGGCTGTATTGCATCTCTGTTGCCAAGGGTACCATTAGTTTTGTGGCTCGATGTTGTACTAAGTCAGGGCTGTCAAACTTGAGGCCCCAAGGGCGGGATGCATCCTACTCTGGCCACACCCATGTCCGGTTTAGCAAAGGGGAAAAAAGTCACGATACATCATGTGACGCTGCCGTGACGCTGTGAGTTTGACACCCCTGTACTAAATTGTGTTGCAGGATGGTGGTTGGTTGGAATGCCCCTATGACATCAGCCCATGGGTGGGACTTGAATTGCAACAATCTGCCATCTTGCAAATTTTGATATTGTCCCCTAGGAACGATCAATTAGAATAGAGCTGGAAGGGACCTTGGAGGTCTTCTAGTCCAACCCCCTGCTCAAGCAGGAGATCCTATACCATTTCAGACAAGCGACTGTCCAGTCTCTTCTTCTCCAGTGATGAAGCACGTAGTAAAACATAGTCACTAAACCAGTAGTAACACCGGTTGAATCCCATCCCTGAGAATAACTCCAATTCAATGATATTGTACAAAAATCTTCTTCCTTGCCAGAAAACAAAAGCCACACGTTTATTTTGAGGTGTTTTTTTTTTTACTGGACATTAAAGAAAATATATAAACAAGCTAGAAATAGGCAAGGATGGATAAAAAGTAAAAATTCAATGAATGAACAAGGAATTCAGAAATGTCTCAGGGAGATTATAATTTTCTTCTACAATATAGCTAGTTGTAAATAAACAAGTTCAAATACTGACAAATATACTTATCATTGCTATAAATCAGATATAGATTTTTCCTTCCAGTGTTGAATCATCATGTTGAGTAAACTGCCAACAAATTCTGTAAAGTAAATTAAACTTGGTTTTTTTAAAGTCTGGTTTTTCAGAATTGAGTTGATTCACAAAAATATTTTGAGTGGCCCAGTTTACTGTAAACCAGAGGTGCTTGCTCTCTTTACGTGGCATTGCCCTGCAGTATAAATTTCTTATGAGTAATTCATCAAAATGATATTTATCACTCAATGTTTTCCATTAAAATCTTAAGATTGCAACAATTTGCCAGAATTTCAGTGAGTCCAATAATTACTTGAAAAATTGAACCCAAAAGGAATTGAATTCTGAAGTTTCTTATTCCAGACTGGAGTTTCTCAACCTTGGGGATTTTAAGATGGGTAGACTTCAACTCCCAAAATATCCCAGCCAGCTATTCAAAGACGATCTATGCTAAATTTCTCTCTTTTTTCTCAATATCATGGTGCAATATACTAACAATTCTGTTTTGGAAGAGAAAGTTTATTTTAAAAAGTTTATTTTGTTCCCTTAGTAGGGAATAAACATCTGTGTTGGTTAGTAATGAATGACTTGCATTTAAGGTTAATCATCCTTTAACATTTACCACTAAAAAATTATCTATAGCCAGTTGTCACTTCATCTCATAAGTGCTTATTATAAGTTGATCACAAGGTAAACACTTTGATTGTTCTTGTATCAAGGCAACGATTTAACTAAGTCGCTGTTAATACAAAAATACCCTGTCATTTCCTGTTCCATCTGCTTCATAAAGATCTTTCTTTCAGCAAAGATTTCTTTTCAAGGAGCTCTTCAAAATTTATTTGATTTTTTTTTTCCCCAAATGGAAAATATTTCATAAGACCATGATCTGAAACTGTAATACGTTTTACATCGTATTGGTTTTGATTTCAAATGTCAGAATGAAATATCAGGAAATTAGCTAATCAAAAGCAATTGCTGTGTACAGATAAAAGGAAAATATCACTAGGTTAGAAGGGATTACTAACATACCAAATACCCAAGGTATTATAAATCACAGGGCTTTTCCACAGTATGGGCTTAGGCTGTTCCAATCCAGAGCTTTAATCAAGTGGGAATTAAATCATCTTAATATTTTTCTTTCTGGATTTCATCTCCTTCTGTTTTGGCAGTCTGGTTCTCACTTCCTCTTACAAGAAGTGTTGTCACAATTGGCATCCGATTTTCTATTGCCAAACAAGTTGTTGTTAAGTGAGTTGTGCCCCAAGTTTTGACCTTTTTTGTCACAGTTAAGTGAATCACTGCAATCGTTAAGTGAATCATGCGACCTTTAAGCAAACCTGGCTTTCCCCCTTGACTTTGCCTGACTTGGGATGTTGCAATGTCCTCAACTTACAACAGTTCACTTTGTGACCGTTCAAAGTTACAATGGCACAGGAAGAAGTGACTTATGACCGTTTTTCACAATTGAGCCCAAAATTTATGTTGTTAAGTGAGATATTTGTTAAGTGAGTTTTGTCCCATTTTATAACCTTTCTTGCTTCAGTTGTTAAGTGAATCACTCCTGATAGGTTAGTAACCCTGTTGTTAAGTTAGTGACCTGGTTAAGCGAATCTGGCTTACCCATTGACTTTGCATGTCAGAAGGTCACAAAAGGTGATTGTCAGGGCTCCAACAAATCCACCCTCATTCAAATAAAAGTCTCTAGCCGCATTTCAGAGAAAAGTAAATTGGTTTATTAGAGGTTGCCATGTTGGCGCGTGGCTGGGTACAGCCAATACTAAATTACATCATGCATTTCCCCCTGGACCCTGGTCTTTCCCCAACCCCCTGGATGTGACTCCTCCAATGGGACACATCTGTCTCCAACTTTGGGCTGCTGAAGTGATTATCTAGGCATTTCAAGAATGCCTTGTTTTCCCCAACTCCCTTTTTCTTGGCAGCTAAAAAGACCAAAGGAGTATCTTTTTAGTTGACAGTGATAATTTGACTCTGGCACATTACAACCATCATAAATGTGAGTCAGTTGCCAAGGGTGTGAATTCTGATCATGAAGATGCTGCAATAGTCATAAGTGTGAAAATACAATCATAAGTCACCTTTTCCAGTGTCATCGTAACTCTGGACAGTTACTAAATGTAAACCAAGGACTACCTGTAAGCATAATCTATATATATAAAAGCGAAATACCACTCATGGATCACCACAAAATCTCCAGAACCTCAAAGCCTACAAACTTGAAATTTGGCATGTGTGTTCCTCTTGGCTCCTAGGTGCTCACTAAGAAAGGATTTTTCAAAATGACCACCAGAGCATTAGTATTTCATATATTACTATTAACAGGCTCTGATGCTAAGGAGTTCTACTCCCCCTCCCCACCTGAAAAGAAATCTGTTCCAAATGCAAAACACAAGCAGGGGAGGGGAGTTTCCGTTTGAATTTGAGTTTCATAGCAGCAACCAGCTTTGGTACAGAACAGTTGAGCTAAGCCAGGCCCAGGCTTTAGCAGATTTAACAGATAATCAGAGTTGGAAGGGACCTTGTAGGTCATCTAGCCCAAGCGGGAGACCCTACACCATTTCTGACAAATGGCAGTCCAATCTCTTCTTGAAAGCCTCCAGTGATGGAGCACCCACAACCTCCGAGGCTCCTTGCTGTCTCCTTCTTGCTCACACAGCAAATACTCTTTCAGTTTCCAAACAGCCCTCAGGTCTCTCACACACTGACAGAACGGTAGCCAGATGAATACTGATGGATGCTGGTAGGCAGAGGCGGAATTTTCCTCCCTTGTTTTCCTCCCCAAAAACTAAGCCCGACCACATAGTTTTGTAGCGAAGCACAAGGTATCGAGCTAGTAGTAATATGCAAGGAGAAGAAAAAAAATCAATCCTCTTCTTTCAACAGGAGCTTAAATAGGTAAGAAGTTTTACCTCCCACATGACAGAAAATAATTTTTGAGTGTTATAAAAATTTCAAAAACTGATAAAATATCGAAGGGTCCCCTCAAGGAATATTTTTTACAGCATTGAATATCTCTCTAAATTTCTGAAGTACCTTAATGCCATCTGGGAAGCGTTACCAGTATTTTTTTTATTTTCACATTCGGTTATTCAGACAGGCGTTTCTCAAAAATTGTATTCCTCGTGGCACGTTTTAAGGAAGTTCAAGTCTGAGGCTTGCTGAAAGAACAAAAAAAATGTTTTTTGCACCTAACAGAAGGTAAAGGTAACAAGATAAGAATGCAAGCAATAAATTAACCACCTTAATGGAATGGGCCCGTTTGCAGTTTAGCCTTTGCACTGGGACCTCTGGAAGTTGTATGGTTAGATAATAGTTTCTTTGTTAAATAAAGAGAAATAAAGATATGAAAGGTAGTTTTGTTTATTAATCACATGGCAGAAACTGAAATAGAAGAGATGGAAGAGTAAGAATGTCCTTTTTTTCCCAGCAAGTGCTGCAAAATTCAATGAATTCATCTGAACCACAAATGGGCAAAATTCATTGAATTTCCTGGGGAATTCTGGGAGTGGAAGTTTACACATCTTAAAGTTACTGAAGTTTAGAGACACTGCTCTATAACAGTGTTCATAGAAGGCTAGGAATCTAGAAGCAGGGGTGGGATTCTACCAATTCGGCCCAATTCGGGTGAACTGGTAGCTTTGAAGATCAGCTGAGAGCAACCGGTTCGCTCCAATGATCAGCTGTTGGGCCCACGCATCCACCCTGGCTCTAGTCTGTGCTTTATTTCTGGGTTTTCCAGCTCAGCTGCTTCGCGTGGTACAGCGGATTGCCACACGTCAGCTCTTTTACACAGGGCTTGTACTAAAAGATGAGTTGCAAATGCTGTGCGCACGCAAAGCACACACTCACCAAACGGATTGTTACACCGGTTGAATCCCACCCCTGTCTAGAAGGCAATGGTTGAATCCCACCCCGTCTAGAAGGCAATGGTTGAATCCCACCCCTGTCTAGAAGGCAATGGTTGAATCCCACCCCGTCTAGAAGGCAATGGTTGAATCCCACCCCTGTCTAGAAGGCAATGGTTGAATCCCACCCCGTCTAGAAGGCAATGGTTGAATCCCACCCCTGTCTAGAAGGCAATGG